GATCGAAGAGGACTGTCAAAGTTTTTGTGTTTTAAACAAAAAAACGCACCACTAAAAATTGAAGAGTAAATTTCAAGACTTCCGAGGGCTTGAACTTCCTCAATTATTTTTTGTGAACGTTACTGAAAACTGGAAGTGTGACCTTAAACTTGCGAGAGCTGGTGTCGTGTAATCGGGAACTAAACTTTTTCCCCCGTAAACAACTTCTCTTAACAAATCTGGCTTGCTTTTATTACTTTCTCCCGCCATCGCCTTTAGACCCTAAGGTCAAGGGCTCGAGTCCCGGCCGGACCTTGTTTTTTCAGTATGTATGCAATTGAATTTTTTCCCGGAAAAAATTGAATTACCAGACTTTCGTTTGTCTGCTCCAGTTTTGTCGGCTTATTTGCCACATGACGGAGTTAGCTTGTTCTGTAAGCAACTTTCATTGTAGTGGCAAGTGCAAGCATTTATCAATGTAGTTTCAGGGGGACATGGAATTTAAAAAAGGGACATGAAATTTTCAGGGGGGACATGGAATTTCAGGGTGGAAATGCAATTTTTTTATAGAAGTTTTTTTCGGCGCAATTTGTGTCTGCTCAAAGACTGTCGGATTTGATGCCTTATCGCAGTTTTTGTCCTGTAGGCAACTTTCATCGAAGTTTAAGTGCAAGTGTCGTTCAATTCAATGTACTTTCAGGGGAACTTGAAAGTTCTTAAAATTTTTAAATCAGATAACTTTTTTTTCGGTTCCATTTGTGTCTGCTCACAGAATTTGGGCTTTGTTTGCTCTTCGTAAGTTTCGTTCAGTTGCCAATTTATTATTCAAAAGTCTCGCATCTTTGCCTAACATGAACTTCTTCCGAGACTTAATTTTTTAACAGTTGATTTTTTCGAGTTCTTATACTTTTTATGTTTGTGCGGTATCACAAGTCTCTGTTTCTGCGCTTCGTCTCTGTTTCTCTATTTATCAACCATGAGGTACCACCTGAAGGACGAGATAGCCTCTCAAGTATTGGTTTTAAACGCTTTTTTAAATAAAGGTATATTCTGAATATTTTTCAAGCCTTCAGCTAACTTGGCTTTTTAATTTGCAACTAGATACGCGCTCTGCGTGTTCTACTGCGTTCCATTTTTTTATTACGCTTGCGATATCAAGGGTATTGCAATTGGGTTCTAGACTTTTTTCTCGTAAACAAATTTGTCCAGAAGACTCATTGGACTCATTGAACTGGTGGTACCTTGGTTCACAAAGAATTCAAATTTGTAGTGCCTCTTGCTCGCTTAGCTTGGTGGTAACGAATACGCCTGGAAAGGCAAAGGTCCGGGGTTCGAATCTGACCAGGATCAGTTTTTTTCAAACTGTAACTGTTCCGGTTCGAAAAAATTTCGGCGTATTATTTGCTTGTTTATATTTTGTCTTCGTTCCCACATCTAAGAATTTATTAGTTTAGCTCTAAATAATTTTAACTGCACTTGTTTTAAGCATTTTAAAGATCTGGCAGAATCAAAATTTGTTTTTCACATTGGTTGAAATTTAACCAACTCGATTTGTTAAAATTTTACTTTTTTTTCAAATATTGTTTTCGTCTTTTTATCGGCTTAGTAAATTTCGGCCTAATCAGTTTCGACTGATTGGCCTTTTATTGCGTCGTTACGTCCGAATTTTTTTTGTGCGAGTGTGTGTGCTCTGACGGGAATAGGGACTTGACATTTTAAAAGTTGAAAATTTTTCTGAATTTTTCGGCATGAAGGGTTTCTGCTCATGTTTTTTCGACTTTGCTACAGCTTGGTAACTATATTTCAAATCCAATCAATCATCCGGCGCATCTGGTGTAGAGATTAAAATAACTGCTTGAGATGGTAAAGATTTTTTGAAAATTTTTTCCGTTTTATTTTCATAACATTCCTAATGGTATCGCAAGTGGTGCGAAGCTCAGCTTCGCCTCCGTGTAAGAATTTTTTATTAAAAGAAACAGAATTTTTTCCTGGGTCGTTAATGTTATGATTGCTGTATACTTAATAATTTCTTTTAATGGATCTTGTATGTGCCATTTGTATATTCTTTTTTGTTTAGGAGATTGAGTCCCAAGATTTTTTTGCATTGTATTTGAATTGTATTTTTTTGTAAAGAAATTGTTTTGATTAACGATTTCAGCTGACAATTTTTTCGAATTTTTCATTTCTTTTAATTTTCATTGTTATCAAAAAAAAGGAATTTGAAGAGCTGCATTTTTTGAATAATATAAAGTCATGCTCTATCGGATTGCAATATATTTCTCTTGAAGCCGGAATTTCCAAAAGTATGATGGTTTTATGTGGCCTTTTTTGTACCTGGACATTGGTATAATTTTTGAATCGTAAGTGAATGGAGTCGTCGGATCTTCTGGCTGAAACGGTTGATAATGTTGTCCAGGTCAATCTTGAGGCCTGAATGAATGTACATCAGTGCAAGTCCGGTCAGACGATCTTCTCCCATTCGGGACCTCAGATACGTGTCCAAAAGACGCAAAACAAAGAAGGAGCGCACTGCTGAGCAAGTTGTTTCTTTTTTACCGATCTTGTCTCATGCGGCCATTTGTTTCTGGGGAAAACGGGTACTTGTCGAGTCTTTAAGAGAGCATATTTCTGTCCATCAGTTGCTGACGAGGTTGGGTACCAGAAGAGCCAGGCTGATTTTCGGTCACGACATCTGATTCTGTCACGGGAGACTGAGATAGGTCGCCTGGAACAATATTTAAAGTTCCACAAACGATCAAAACGCTAATCAATAAAACAAAAATTTTATTTAAAAAAATGAGATTTTTTTCGATTAATTTTCGTGCATGAATCCCAAAATTACTGTACCGAAACTACAAAAAAAGACAAAAATTGAAAAGTAAAATAAGAAACTCTCTGGATTGTGATGGTTGTGGAGCTGAAGAACCAAAGAAGGACGTAATCTTTGAGGATAACCTCGGTGTCGGATTTGTAGTCGAACTGCGTTTAGACATCACTCTAAAAGTAAATTTAGTGTTTGAATATATGCTAAAATTTGCGGCCACAAAATCAAATGTTAATAACAAGTGTGATTTCAAAAAGAAATTATCCAGAACCGCTAATCACACATATTTCTGAAAAAGGCGACAAAATGAGGCGTGTATTTAACAGCTGTAATAATTGCAATATGTTAGAAAGTGCCCCCCCCCCCCCCCCGTTGAAAAAATCCTAGAATCGGGCCTGGTTTTATCTTTCACTTTATCATTCTTTTAATCGGGAACTAGACTTTTTTCCGTAAACAGCTTTTTTTTAAACAAATTTTCGTTTTGCTGAGTTATTGAATATTAAAAACTTCCAAGGTCCGCGCTTGGCCTAGAGGTAACTTGCTTTTGCATCCTAAGGTCCTGGGTTCGAATGCCGGCCGGACGTTGCTTTTTCAGTATGCATGCAATTGAAATTTTTTTCCGGTAGAAATTGATTTGTCGGACTTTCGTTTATCTGTTCAAGTTTTGAACAGAAGCCACATCTTGGATATTTTTCGTGCACTAAGCAAATATCTTGGTATCTTTTTTATTATAGTTTCAGAAAATATGCTTCCGATTTTCAAAAAAGGTATCAATGGAACGACCGCCTACCCTACTGTGTGTCTGCGTATCCCTTAGTCTCTTTCTACTTTATCCCTCTGTCTACAGCCTTCGAAAAAGTCTGTGGGTGAAAGTTCGACCCAATGTTTTTTCAAAAACGACCCTCCCAAATCTGAGATTTCAATTTCAATGAATAGAACTGGTGTTAGAAAACTGCCCTGCACTCGTGGATATGCCAAAAGTTATGGCCCGCAGAATAATCAAAGTTTGAACTTTTTGACCGTTTTTCGAATTTTTGACCTTTTCTGGAAGCTTTTTTCCTCAAGTCTGGGTTTTTGGGCTAAATCCTATATTGCGTCAGTTTCTTCTGAGTGAACGGTTATGCTCATTTTTTAAACAAAACTTTTGATTCTCGGAAATTTTTTGGTTTGTTGGCCGTTTTTTTTGGATTTTTCTCGATAACTAACCTCCCAAATCTTAAATTGTGGGTTCAGTGGAGATAAAGGTTAGTGAGAAGCTGTTTTCTATTAGCAGCTACTTGCAAGTTTTTGTACACAAAAAGTTATTACCTTCAGAAAAGTGAATTTTTGTTTATTGATTGTTTTATAAATTTTTTTGAATGTTTTCGAAAATTACCCACCCATATCTGAGATTTGGGGTTCAATTAACAGAAAGTGTTGTGGGAAGCTCCTTTGCATACGCAACTACGTCAATTTTTTTATACAAATAGTTATGGCCCTCGTCAAAGTCAAAGTTTTTGACTCGTTTTTCGAAAATTTGTTGTTTGTTTCCTGGACTTTTCTCGATAACTATCCTTCTAAAACTGATATTATAGGTATAAATGAAAGAACAGGTTTTTGAAAGTCTACTTTTATAATTGGCTACGCCCATTTTCTTCTAAAAAATATGCTCCTCAATAAAATCAAAGTTTTGAAACTTTGACTGTTTTGGAAGTTTTTTGATTTACTCGAAAACTACCCCTCCAATTCTGAAGTTAAAAATTCTATCGAGAAACCCGGTTTTGTTAATCTTCTTCTTTAGCAGCCACGCCTTTCTTTTTACAGAAAATAATTTGGATCTAGGTAAGTCAACTTTTGAACTATTGACCGTTTTTGGTAACGTTTTGAATTTTCTTAAAAAAACTACCCTATCAAATCTGAAAGGAAGGGTTCAATCGAAAGAACTGGCTGCGAGATTTTATCTCACCTCACAGAAGCGGCTATTCCTTAATTTTTTGCAAAAGAAAGGGTAGATTTTTGGGAAAATTCCAAAATCTCACAATGTTTCACTCTTCTCACTTTTTTTTGTAGAAAAACAAATAAGGTTATGGGTAAAGTCCAACGTTTGAATTGACGCATTTCGTACCGCATCAATATAACAAATTCACAGAATATCAAAAACGTAGCTGCAACTTTAACTTGCTGTCTTTTATACTTTTTATGTTTTATTTTCCCTAGTTGTTTTTTATTGAGACTAAGAAAATCTTGGTTCATCTAGTTTTTTTCAAACATTTTTCTTTTCCGACCTATGTTTTTTATATGTTTGTGTTTTATCGCAAATGGTGGTAAGGTCGGCTTCGTCTTTGAGAACCCTTTAGGTAAGCATCAATAGTTTTAACTACCTGCTAGAAGTTAATCCAATAGAGTGAAATATTAAGTCTCCGTCCATTCGAGGAATTTCGCCAATATGAGCAGTTCAGTTTTCTCGTTAAAAATGTTTTTCATCGTACGATCAACTTTTTTGCTCCGCTTATTCGAAAAAGTGTTCACTCACCTAGAATTTTACTGCAGATGAAGGAAACCACCAATTTCAGACCTGGAATAAACTGGTAAATGAAACTAAGTATTGATGTTTAAATTGAGGGCAGCTGAGTTCATTTTCTCACGGTCAATTTAAAAATTTTGGTCAAATTTTAAGAAAATGTTCTTTAAAAATATCATAAAACGAGATTGGGCATTTTAGAGAGTAAACAACTAAAGTTGGGATTTTTTAAATCCAGTTGCGAACAAATCATTTTGCTGACGCGTATGTCTTTAGATTACCAGACTTCGATTATCATAGTGTACCAATTGTTTGCGATGCGACTTATAGAACGGATGTGTTGAAATCAGAAATATCATGCACTACACTACTGTAACGACCAGAAGTCAAGAATCACTTACTATTTTACTACTTCAATATTTGAATTGTGACTTTTTGAAACCAATGAATTAATGAAAAAACTTTTAAAAAAACTGAATCGAATTCAAAAATAAGGTACAAAAATGACTGGGATTACATCTACAATATTGAATTGTTAATTTGGTCGACAATTTTTATTTAGTTTTCAGAATTTGTGAAAAACTTTGGTATCATATTTACATGAAAGGTATAATTTGCAGTTGGTTTTCTATCAAAAGGGTAATTTTAGTTAATTGGTGCAATATTATTTTCAGATTTGACAAAAAACCTCTTGCACTACCTAAATATGTATTTCGTTGGAAATGTTTAATTTGAATGATTTTTTGAGAAAAAATACTTCACCCAAATTTAAATGGTATAAAGAAAGAAGGAGAACGAAATCAATTGCACAATGTAAGTGGCATGGGCGGATTTAGGTTTGGGGGTGGAAGCCCCTCTGCCTCAGGTATTCGACCCCCTGTCGACCTAAAGGCACGCCCCTTTGTACTATTTTGAGATATCCGTTTTTGATGACAGACTCTAAAAACTTTCTAGAGGCGCCAGGGGCGAGAAAAATATATACTAATTTTGATAGGGGAGCGCGCGCCGAAAAAACGCGATGTTTTGGTCAACGTTTTCCAAGAAGCCTCTTGGCCTCTTTTTTTTGAAAATTGAGCTTGTGGCGCACAAAATTTGGCCAAAACAGGGTCTTTTTATTGCTCTGGGAGAGCTCGATAAATCAAAAAAAGGTCGACAAACATTTCGAACACCTTTTGAAAATCCACCCCCCTCGAGAAAATCCTAGATCCGCCCGTGGTAAGTGGTGTAGTTTTTACCTAACTCTGATTAATTATAGAATTTTTGGTTTTCTTATTGCTGATGATAATAATGTTTTTTTTTGCAAGTATCAGGTTTTTCCTTGAAACTATGGTAGTTGAGGTCATTTTGCTTACGAGAAACTTTTATCACATTACTTTTTAACAAAATCGGTTAAATTGATTTTAGACAAGTAGTAAAACAAAATTTAATCTGTTTTACCAGCGCTTGAATAATTTACAGTGACAAAATATTTAGAATAGTCGGAAAATGAACAGCGAAAAACACAAAATGCAGACAATTTTATCACAAGCGTCGTCAATGAATATAATGGCAGAAGAAACAGACATGTCGCTGACTCTGGAAACGCCTGTGGGCAAAATAAACGGAAAAGTTGTGAAAATGGACGGCAAATACGTTGGCGAATTCCTAGGAATACCATATTCCAAGCAACCAATAGGAGATCGTCGATTCAAATTTTTGGAACCACTGGATGAAAAACTAGACCATAAAGTTTCTCCTTTTTTGGCTCATAGGAAGGGAAACAGCGCTGTTCAGCTTCAGCAAGGGAAGTTTTGGGATACAAAAATGCCGGTTGGAGAAGACTGCATATATCTGAATATCTACACACCTCTTGGATCCGAACCCGAAAATTTTCAGAAACTCTCAGAATCAAAACTTCCAGTGTTGTTTCACATCCACGGAGGAGGGTTTAAAATCGGAAGTGGCTCGGAGCCAATGTACGATTTGAGTTTCTTTGCTGTCAGGCATGATATTGTATGTGTGAATATAAACTACAGACTGGATATGTTGGGGTTCTTGAGTTATCCAGGAGTTATTGAGGACAACTTGGGGTTGAAAGATCAACAAGTGGCTTTGAAATGGACGCATGAAAACATATCTGCATTTGGAGGAGATCAGGATAGAGTTACAATTTATGGTTGTTCTGCAGGTACTTAAATCGTATCTTGTATAGAAAAGCTAGCCACTACTTCACGCAAGTTCTTAGTTTTTTTTTTTCAATTTTGTACTGGATATCCGATTTTGTACCCTTTACACTTGCGAGATCAAGTGTCTTGTAATCGGGAACTGGACTTTTTTCCTTTTTAAGAAGGTTCCTTCCTATTTGGCCTGGAGGTAACCCGGACTGATTCTCGACAGGACTTTGTTTTTTAATTGATAAAAATTGAATTGTCGGACTTCTTTTGTCAGATCAATTTTAATCGGCTTGGGGGCCACATCACGGATTTTTCTAGTGCTCTAAGCAAGTATCATGGTAGTTGCAAGTGTTGTTCATTGTAGTTTCTGGGGGTTCTAAATACTTTTTAAAGTTTTTTATTCAATTTTTTTTCGGCTCAACTGGTGTCTGTAAAAATATTTGTTTCCGCTTCTGAAGTTTTGCTCCGTCCCTAATTCAAAGTTCAATTGTCTTGCTTGAAATGTGTGTATACAACTCCTGCTTCCGATTTTTTCTGCATTATGAAACTAACCTATAAGCCGTACGTCTTTTTAGTCTTTTTATTTGCGAAGCAAGTGTCTTGTAATCCGGAGCAAGACTTTTTTTCTGTAAAAGCTTTTACAAATCTTACTTGCTTTTCTTACTTGCTTTATTAAGGAACATTAGCACGAGACTGAATTGTTGGACTCTTCATCTCCTTCACATCAGCGGCTACTCTCAAATTTCTTTGCGCAAAAAGTTATCACCCTCGAAAAATCAATTTTTTTTTTTACTGTTGATGTGAAATTATCTAACTCTTCTGGAAAATTTATCTCTTATATCTGAGTTTTTGGGGTTCAAGTGAAATAACAGGTAGTGTGAATTTCTTCTGCATGAGCGGTTACGCCCAAAAGCTATGATTCTTGGAAAAGTCGAATTTTGATTTGTTGGCAGTTTTTTGGACACTTTTTGACTTTTCTAGATAGCTATCCTGCCAAATCTGATATCAAGAAAATACTCTTTAAACAAATTGTTAAAACGCTACATTCAAAAGTGGCTTCGCCCAGTTTTTTTGAAAAAAAATTATGGCCTTCAAAAACTCAAAGTTTGAAATTTCGACCGTTTTTTAAAAAAACACTTGACTTTTCTCGAAAACTAGCCTGCCAATTCCAAGGCTAGGTGTTCAATCGAGAAACAATGTATTGAGAATTTTCTTTGCTCAAGAGGCCGCGACCCGTTTTATTTCGGAAAGTCCAATTTTTGAACTCTTGGACGTTTTTTAGAAATGTTTTTATTTTTCTTAAAATGATGGGATCAATCAAAACAACCGGTTGTGAGAATTTTTGCAGTAAAAGCGGCGACTCGTAAATTTTTTGTTAGAAAATTTTTTTTTTAGAAAAATTCCAATTTTTTAAAAGTTTTCATTTTTCTCACTTATTGTTGAGAAACAACCAAGATTTTGGGCAAAGTCTAATTTTTGGCCTTTTCTGGGTCCCTAGTTTTCTTTTATTAGGATATTTCGTTTGTTTTGGGCTTCTTACGTGTACTTTATGTTGGTATTGTATCGCAAGTGTTTGCGAGCCCCACATCGCGTTTGCGTTATCTTTACTATTTTTTGGCGACCAATTTGTTCTTTTCAGCGAAACTTTTTTAGGCGTCTGAGAAGGACAAATTCGAGATTTCATCTTCGATATAAAAGTTTATAAGAAGAACGTCCTTTTTTGTATCAATCCTAGAAGTAAAACTTGTAAGAAGACTAGGACTCTTCTTAAAAAAATCTAAGAGTGATTTTGACCCAGCGGGGACACAGCAACCGGTTTTTGACCCAGCAACCGGTTTTCATAACTTTTCACTAATCAATCAAAAAACCAATTTTGACTATTTGAACCTGGTTTTTTAATCGGGAGAAGTTGTAAAAAACGGACGAATGCAGTAAAGCTGTCTCATTGAACAATTCATTTTCGTCGCAGAGAAGGTTCCACATCCCAATAACTAACTCCGATTTCTTACATTTGCGAAGCAAAGTGTATTAGTACGAATTGTCTTTTGTTTCCAGCCGAAGTCACAAATAAAAATGCTACTTTTGGTGGCGCTTTTGACTCGGTAGGTTGCGGTAGCCGTATAATATCATGTGTTTTGACTTTTGATTAGTAAAAAGGTACGATTGTTTTTTTTTAGTGTGGTGATAGTGAAATATGGCATTTTCAGACATGGAATAAACTTGTAAATCCTTAGAACCAAACTTTCAAACAATCGTACCTTTGATCATTTGCTATCGGTCGATATGGAAGTTTACGAGAAAAATGTCCTTTTTTGTATAAATCCCAGAAGTAAAACTTGTAAGAAGAGGAGGACTCTTCTGAAGAAAGATCTAACAGAGTGACTTTTGACCCATCTGGGACACCAGTGGCCTAAATTATGCTCAAGTTTACGTTTTACTCTCTACAATATCTATTTTCAAGGATGATTTTTTGACAATAGTTTTTTTGAAATTTAAACTAAAATTCTACTAGACTGAGACCAGATAATCTGAATTTTAAAATACTCTCTGTTAATTTATCAAAATACAGAGTTTTAATATTTGCAACCGGTTTTTGTTATTTTCTCCAATTAATCAAAATACCAGTTTTCACTGTTTTCACCCAGTTTTTCAATCGGGGAAGTTGTAAAAATCGGACGAATGCAGTAAAGCTGTCACATTGAAGAATTTAATTCAGCGCGAGAAGATTCCACATCCCAATAACTTCTTTTACTCCGATTATTTACACTTGCGAAGCAAAGTGTATTAGTACAAATATTTTTTTTCCAACCGAATTCGCAAATAAAAGTATAATTATCCGTATACGGTAGCCGTATAATATCAAATGTGCTTTGAAATTTGATTAGTTAAAAGTTAACACAGCTGATGCATTTTTAATTCATCAAATGAACCGAAAAAAGTTATTTGTTTCAAACATCAGTACAATGATAAAAAACTCGTTTTCAGAATTTTTCTAACTCGATTTATCTCGCAATGTTTTTGAAACATAATTTATACATAATTTGACTTGATGCTTTCCAATTTTTTCTACTTGCAAAATTGTGTCCCTTTTATTTAGTGCTATTCTTGTTGCATCGAATTGGCAATTTATAAGCATGTGTAGCTGCGGTATTGGCGGCTAGTTTTTTGTGGGAATTTAAGCATCCGACGCTGAGTGGCTAGTGCATGAGACTCAATTTTGTTAGGTCGCAGATTCGAATCTGACACGTGGCCGAGTTATTGCTCATTCGAGGCTTATTTCTACTTTTTCGTATTTCACTTGATAGAGCTGCTTCTTGGTCGTGTTCTCGGAAGTGTTTGCGAAGCACAGCTTCCCCTCTGTGTCGAGGAAGAGTTTACTCAGATGCAAAACTTAGTGTATGTAGTAAAAATTGGCTGTATTAGACTTATTGTTATTTGGTTAATCTTAAAACTAACTTTATATGCTCTCGGTGTTTGTTCTTTTTTTTGTTTATTTTTGAAATATTATTTCTCGATAACAGACTGATTTTTTAAAATTTGTTCTCGCTCAACTTTGATTTTTCGCAAGTTGAATTTAAATTTTTTTTCAGTTTTTGTCTGATCTTTTGTTAAAAGAGGGCAACTCCACTATCGAAAGCAAAAATGTAAAGGTCCTTAAAACATGAATGACTTTAACTTTCGAAGTTGAACTAATTTTCTGAATTCCCAGCGGAGTAAACAAACGAATTCCTCTAACAGGGATAACTTTAAGAAAAAGTGCAATCAAAAACAATTCTTGAAATTGAAAGAGCTGTAATGTAATATACAATTATTTCCAAGCATGTGATTGTTTCAAAAACTTTGTGCTCTGAATGTTTTGATGGTATTAACTTTAAATTTTGAGCGAGCAGAGGAGAGCGACGGGTTCTAAGTGTTCCGACTTCTGCACTCTCATAAGTGAACACTTTTATAGGTGTTCCGACTTCTGCATTCTCATTGTGAACTAGTTTGAGCTAGTGGGTGGAAGCATTTACTACGGATCACGAAAATATCAAATGGCTCGCAAAGTTTTCTTTTCCATCCGAGTTTCCAATTCGTTTTCTCTGTTTTGTTTTCAATTACTGATAGATAACACAACGATATCGCCTGCAGAAAAATTCAAGTTATGCAAAATTCGAAAAAATGGCGTTGCCACTAAAAAAAGTTTGCATAAATTCTTCCTTGAAAACAGTGTCAACTTTTTTTGGAAAAGTCGTAAAATTTGCCTTCGCTCAACTAAGATTTTTTGCGGCTTGATATATTTTTTTGATCAGTTCATAATTTTTATCAAAAGAGGGAAGCTCCACTACCGAAAAATTTAAAGGGGTAGAAAAATTTGAATGATTTCTTGTTTCGATGTTGGACTAATTTTCTGAATTCCTAGCGCAGTAATAAAAAAAAAACTATTGCTCTTAAAAAAATTGAGATAACTTTCGAAAAAGGGTGAAATTATGAACATTTCTTGAATAAAAAAGAGCTTCAACGTGATATGCAAGGTGCTTCTTAGCATGTGATTGCTTAAGAAACTACTACGATTCTTTCGATTTAAGCGTGGCTTAGTTTAAGTTAGTGATATCGAATCTTTTACAACGGATCATAAAATTATCATTGTAAAGTGATTCGCAATGTATTCTTTTCCATCCGAATTTCCAATCACCTCCGGTTTTGTTCAATTACTGGTAGACAAGTACAGATACGGCCTCCAGAATTTCGTTTGAGATGAGCAAAAGTTCGAAAAAACGGCATTGCCACTGAAAAAAAAGGCGCACCGAAAACTCTGCAAGTTCCCTCTAGGAGTCATCTGTGGACCTGATTCGGCTGTTTTTTAGTGAGCACTCAGACAGTTCTATCAAAAAATCATGTCCTTATTTGATTTTTTGTCTCAACCAGGTGGCTTCTTTGTCGCAAATTCCTAATTTTAACCATACACATCCTTTATTGTTCATAAATTCAAGCAAACATACACCCCACCAGAAACAGACTTTTTCTATGTGATTTCCTGTGAAAGGTCCGTTTTTCCAGTGCAAAGTTCTGTTCGGGATGAAATGATGTCTTGGACTAAACCACGAATGGTCAGAATACTCGGTGCGTATTTGTGGAGGGAATTGCCTAACGTGTTTCACTATTGGAGTGCAGAAGAGCCACTGATAATACTCGAAAAAGGATGCAATAATGTCGATGTCAAAACTGAGGCGTTTTCAGCACCACTTATTGGATCAACTGGACACTAGTAATCCGGTTGAACAACCCGTCATTGAGCTATATTCTTGCGAAATTTCAAGTCTGTATCTCAAATACCTTCCGAGAAACTGAGTTTTTGAAAGAATAGTGCAAAGAAACACTATATTTTGTCTTCAAAATTCGAGTGATAAAATCTGAGTGGAAACAGGAACTTCTTATGCCGTGAGGACACATTTTGGGCCAAAAAAACTGAATATAACCATCAAAAATAAGTTGTTCGTTTTTTTTTTGCATTGAGTTTATGGTAGTTTTTTTTTCAAACAGGAGGAGCCAGTGTTCACTACCACACATTGTCACCTGAAAGCAGCAAATACTTCGCACGTGCCTTTGCATCCAGTGGCACAGTGAACAGATTATGGAGTCGCTTCTACAGGAATGATCACTATAAAAAGACACTCAAGGCCCTCAAAATGCTGGGAGGACCAAAGAACCCAACGGCTGAACAAGTTCGAGACTTTTTCATAAACCTGTCAGTAGATAAAATCAAGGAAAGGCAAATTCAAGCCAAAGTTACATCGAATCAAAGACCAATACATATTTTTTCAACGCATAAAAATGAGTTGGGAGAAATTGGTAATTAGTAAACTTTTCTAATCATAAAAGGTAGTCAGCGTGGTTTATGGAGACTCCAACTCTAAATGTATTTTATTGTTGCGTAAAAAATTGGCGCAGAAGTTTTGATTAAGACTTACGTGGAAGCTCAGAGTAAAGGTTTCCTTGAATTGCAATCCGAGTCAAGTCACCACACTTTCAAATTCTACCCTGCCATAACATTTTCTCTTTTTTCGGTAATTTTGCTCCGAGTTTCACAATTCGGTCCGGAAAACAAAAAGTATCAGTCATTTTCTGCTTTCTCGAACGCCTATGTCATTCCAAGACCCTCTTGCGCATTGATTAATAGTCGATGAACGTAGTTCAGTTTCTTATATAGGGCGTGAAGATTTTTTTTTTTTTTTTTTTTCAGGAAGTCTAAAAATGCTCTAATATTTTACAGAAGTGCATTCGATAATAATGCATTTATGCATGCCTTTAGCTATATATGCCCTCTTTGGGTTTCATTCAAGTTCATTTGTTTAAAGGCAAGAAAAATTCGGTCTCCCATAACGAAAGACGAACTGGCGCAGTAAAGGTGATTCAAAGTGGAATTTATTTTCAGATTTTTCAGCGCAAGAAAAACTTTAACTACTAAGACTTCAGTTTTCTCAAATTGAGTTATTTTTTATCAAAATTGTGCCAATCATCCTTTGCTCTTGAAATTCAAAGAGTCTTAAGGTCATTTATTTTTTTTCTTAAAAGCTCCAAAGTTGAAGTCTTTTCAAAAAACGAGTCAGTTTTTTTCCCTATTTCTTTGTTCTCATTGCCTCTTTTCCATGCGTCGGTTGGCTATGTTTCAAGTTACTTTTGCAATAAATACTTGAAATAGCGCAGTACGGTTTTTTTAAACCAAATACCGCAAACAAGTCTTGAAATACCGCAAACAAGTCTTAATTAAACCAAATTAAAACAAATTTTTTTTTGCTTGAATTTGGCCTTCAGGACTTCATAACACAAACAAAAGTGGACCAGAGTGTGAGTTTTATTCCAGTGGATGAGTTCGAAGAGGAGAAGCTGCCATCGAAATCCAGAATGGCGCAAAAGCCACTTCTGCTGGGAGTAGCTTCAGACGAAGGCACCATGTTTTCAGACATGATTTTTCCCAGGAAGGATATTACAAAACCCACATGGTAAGAGTCACTTTGTTCTGGAACAAAAGAAAAGTATTGTTCTTTCGTTCAGTTTTAGTCCTTCGAGTGCAACGTGCAACTCACGAGAAGATAATTACATTTAAATTTATATCATAGATAAATCATTATCTAAAGAAGTTTGAGGCAAAATTAACGATATTACAACTCCAGCTCCAATTTTTTTAAGCGCAATCTAAAAAATTTGAAAATTAACCAAAAAATTGAGCATTTCCATTATTTGTTTTCAGGTGCAGACAGATTTTTTCGGAATTCTTTGGAGAAAAGGTGTTCTATCAACCACTTAGAGAACTGCTTGATGAAATCTCTAGTATACCCAACTTGCCTGTTTTTGTTTACTTATTTGACTACAAATGTCCAACAAGACACAAAGACTTGTTCCCGGAAGCGGAAGTGCCGATGCACTTTGGATCGTTTCACTCCCTAGACATTCCGTTTCTGTTTAACTTGGCCGAAAAGAAATCTTATCTGATGGATCCGTGCGAGTCTGACAAACGCGTGAACGAAACGTGCACAACTATGTTAGCTTCTTTCGTGAAAAGCGACGACTTGTCTCAATTTCCATTGGTTAGATATGAAACGACGAAAAAAACTGTGAATAAAATAACGGCTGATGGGTTGACACCTGTAGGTAGCGATTGTCTGCTACCGAAAAGAAAAGCACTAGCATTTAAGACTATTACTGCATCAGCCATGCTATTAATGGCTCCCAATAAATACTGAACTGAGAACTACAAAAGATATTTGCTAACTTGATAGTTTTGTTTATTACTAACCCAGCTTGACCTGGAAAAATGACGTTAATTGGTTTCCATTTTTTAATAGCCTTTGTCCACAAATTTTGTTCACAAATTTCTCCGTTTGGGTAACTATTTTTGAACAAACAAAACTGTCGTCATCATTTTGATCATCATTTTGAAAAAGTTAAATAATGAAAAGTGCTTTCCATCAAGCCAAGAAAGCCAAAAATTTTGAAACGATAAGGTTTGAGGTATGTTTTTGTCCCTGAGTCAATTAAAGTATTAGCGCCACTAGAGGGCTATATAACTTCCAATTTTACAAAATCATTTCAATTAGCGAATTTTGTTTTTTAATAATCTTGGCGAAAGCAAAGGGGTATACGGCTCGCGACTTCTTACGAGAGTTTCAAATTTGCAAATTTTTCCAATTTCCTGTTCTTTTTTAACACTTGCGAGTTTGCGAGAGTTAGTGTATTAGTACGAACCTTCTTTTTTCTAACCTCATTCGCAAATAAAAGCGTTCATTGAAAGTGGAAAGTGTTAAATTATTTGATGGAACTTTGGCTATAATCACGATCTGTAGCATTGAAAATTTCATAGCACCTTTCTCTGCTTTTTTTATGGCTAGGATTTGTGATTTATTAAGCGTTGATGCTTGGAGTGATTGGTGCGTGAAACTCATATTCTTGAGGCCGCAGATCGAATTCGGGACTTAGCCGCATTTTTACTAATTCGAGGCTTAGTTCTTTTTTTTTCTTATTGCATTTTGTAGAGATGTTTTTATTGTGTTTTTGCTAGTATTTGCGAAGCGCTGCTTCGCCTCCGCGTGAAAGGAAAGCAAACTACACTATCGAACAGCTAAAGTGTAAAGGTAATGAAAAACCTGAGCGACTTCTAGTTTCGAAATTGGATTTTAATTATCAGATGTCCCAGAGGAAATAAAAATTTACCTATTGATCCATTTTTCTCAAATTGGGTTAATTTTATCAAAAAAGCACCAATCATAATTTGTTTTTGAAAATAAAAGAGCTTTGAAGAGTTTTATTTTTGCTTTAAGTTTCGAAAAAAACAATCAGTTTTTTTTTCTGTTTTCTTGCGTTCATTACTCTTTTCCGACTGTCAGTTGGTTAGTGAATTTTTTTTTCTATTTTTCAAAAGTCTCCAAAACTACTTTTTCGAATTTCTAAAACGAAGTATCAAACCCTGTCTGCATGCATAAACTCCTAGTCTCTTTTCACACTACCCCACTTACGGCAGTCTTCGAAAAATTCTGTTACGGAGATTTTTAAGCCAGAATTTTAGATTTGATTTCCATATTTTAGAAAACTACCGGGTTAAGGAAGCACTTCTGAAACGCCTACACTCAAAATTTTCAATTCAAATATTTAGGACCCTCGGAAGTTTTTTTTGATTTTTTTCAGATTTTTGAAAGTATTGTGACATTTCTGAAAAATAATTCCTCAAATCTGAGATTTTGGGTTCAATGAAGTGAACGGGTAGTGAGAAGCTACCCCTGCATTAATAGCTACAACCAATTCATTTTTTTAAACGCTCTGATTTCTCTCAAAAACTGCCCTAACAAATCTGAATTTTTGAGTACAATCGAAACAACAGTTTGTACAAAGTTTCACAGCATTTCCATTTTTTTACGCATTACCGACTTTCGGAAAACTCTTTTTTTTTTTTACTTTTTAGCCGTTTCTTGAATGTTTTGTCTTCTGAAAAACTACACTGCAAAATCTGATATCAAGGGTTTAATCGGAACAACAGGATGCGAGATGACTCACATTAAAAGCGGGTTTGTCCGTTTATAGGGATAATGGCCTGAAAAATTTCTTGATTTTTCTTAAACACTACCTTATCAAATCTGAGATAAAGGGTTCAATCGAAAGAACCGATGCGAAAATTTATCCTGCGGAAGCGGCAAATCTTTTCGCTGTTTCTCAAAAGGTACCCTACCTAACCAGTTTTTAAGGGTTTAATCAAAACAACAAGTTGTGGGAAGCCTCCTTGCTACGGGGGCTACCCCCTAATTTATTTTTAGAAAGTTGAGACTTTTGGAGAAGTCAAAATTTGTAACTATGACCGTTGGTTTGGAAACTTTTCGATTTTTCTCAAAAAAGTACCTTGCCGACCGATTCTAAGTTTAAGGGTTCAAAAGTGAAAATTTTTTGTAAAAAAGTAATGTTTGACTTAGCAAAAGTCTGTTTTTCTGTTAAAAGAATTTTTTTTGGTTTTATCGAAAACTACGATGCCAAATCTGCGATTAAGGTTTCTACCAAAAAAACAAACTAATGGTGTTTTCCAAAATAAGCTAACTTTCCCGTTTCTAATGAGGAATTAGCCATAGAATGAAGAAGTATTTGACCTTTTGCTCCATTTTTTGTCTTCGTGCAATTTTCCATAACCCCCGGGCGAATTCTGCAATTAACAACTCAATCAAACGAAAATGTTTTAACCTCACTTGCACTAAGTTTTTTGAAATGAATTAGCTAATGACTTGGTAAATGTCCTTTTAATGATGTTTTGAGACATATTGAAAATTATTGTTTTTTATTGTGTTTTTTTTCCGCATCAGTACCTTTTTGAAAAATTTATATTAATTTAGTACTTCCAGAGTTAATTGAGACTAGCAATAATAATTATCATTATAATCATCATAATCATAATCATAATAATCATCATAATCATGATAACAATGATAATCATAATCGTTATAATCATAATAATCAGAATAGTAAAAAAAAATTAATCATAATAATCATAATAATAAATTTTTTTAAAGCCAAACATATGAACAAAGACTTAGCTCAATATATTATGATTAATGTAGGTTTGAGAGGGAATCCTAAAGTTTTCAAACAAAATCTGAAAAGAGATGCCTCAAAAAACAGAACATTTGTGAAGTATATCTCATTCTTATAATTAAAACATCATTGTTTCGGTAGTTTTGAAGTTTTCATTTCCTAGTGTTCAAATTTTACCAAGGAGCCGTCGCGCATATACTAGGACGTGTGACGTCTAATCTACTAATATCTTTTTTTATGATATTTTAAATTTTGAGACATTTTAAAAACTACGCATTACCTTCCACTTCAGTACATTTTTAAATTTAACTTTAAATTAGTAACTCCAGCGTTAAATGAGACCCTAGCAAAAATAATCATAATAAGGATAATCATAATCTTAATCACGATAATAATCATAATAATCGTAATAATTATCATAAAAATAATCATAATAAAATGTTTTAAAGCCAAACATATGCACAAAAGTGTAGCTCAATAGTTTATGATTAATGTAGGCCTGAGAGGGCAACCTAAAGATTTCAAACCAGATTTTTGTCGAATGATGACTTAGAAAACAGAACAGTTGTGAATTATGTCTCATTCTTATAACTAAAATATCCTTGTTTTGGCAATGCTAGGAAGTGAGACTTCTAATGTGGAGGTGGGGCTTTGATTCCGGAACATAGCATGTTTTTCGTTGCTTTTACCTTTTAGTGCTAAGTTTTGCCATTTTCTGGCTTCGCTTCTCGGTGCGCAGCCACAGCTTCCACTGTTGTTAGAACCATGCTATTAAGTTTTAATTGAGCTAGTAAGAAATACTTAATTCACGCAACGAAACTTTTTTCAAATTTTGTGGAAATTTAGTCGGAATAAAATTTCATTTTGCTCCGACTACAATTTTTTTCCGACGCAGGGTAACACAAATAACGATATGTTTTTCTCAGCTTCAAGAAAAACCTGCAACCATTTAGTGTTTTTTTAGTACAAGTTAGCGCAAATAAAGCGAACGAATAAGTTAACAATGGCGATACATTTTTCGTTAAGCCATGAAGCTTTTTTGTACATAGCCATATTTGACAATATTTTTCAGTAAAAAATGCTAAAAAATTGATTTTCGATATTTTCAAATTAGTTATCAATTTTCTTCCAGCGTTCTCTTGCGTAGTTGATAACGACAATTCAGAATACTTAGACAATTCATATTAAGTTTTCGTTTGCATTAAATTTAATAACGCCCTTCGATAAAGTTTATAATTACGTTTCTTGATATTTTATGAATGCATTATAGTGATTTTTGGGAATTATAATTAGACAATTTTTGGGCAATTTTTCAGTTTCTGAAATGCTTCTTTTCAGCTCAAAATTTAACGCGTTTCAATGGGATTAATTAATTACCCCAACTTTTGTGGTTCCTGTCGTTGCTTGAAATAAACCTAACCTAAAAATTATTCTAATGCCACCTGATCAAATCAGCTACAGAATTTCAAGCATTTCAGTTTATGCCCAGCCTTGTGCACAAGTATGATTCAAAAAAATTCATGCATAAAAGTGATTTTTGAAAAAATCAATCAGTCAATTTTGGGGCAGTTTTCTAAAAACTGCAAACTAATTCTGAATGTTTTTTTCTCAGCTCAAAATTTTTTCTTGTTTTTTTAATCAGATTGTCCAACAAAAGGTAATAAAATTTTAGGTTCTTGAAGGTTATACTAACTTTGCCCACTTTATAATTTGTAAGCATGGTACTAATTTGACTTTCGTGATGTTAAATATTAATGGAACAAGTTTAAAACAACATTTAGTTTATCCAATGATATTCTTGATAACTATCACTGTAAAATATTTTAAACTAACCAATCCTGATCCATGGCGATAACTTACATTAATTTGTTAGGCTTTGATTCCGGAACAATCTCATTAATCGCTTAACCTTTTGAACTGCTTTTCACCTTCTCACTTTACATTTAGGACAACGGCAACTAAGTTGGAATAAGTTTCGAAAATTACTAAGACTAATGCCGAATACGTCAGCTCCGGTTGTTCAGGCAGTCACTTCTCGTACACAAATTGCGTCACAGGACTCTTTGGCTGTACTCCTCGGCTGGGTTTTTTTCCGAATATCAAACTCCAGCTGCTCATTTTGCGCATTTAGTGTAAAGTTAACATCCAAACTTGTGAAGACAAAGGCCCGGGGCTCGA